TTTATTTTTTAATTTATTTTTATTTAAATTAGAAGGAAGCCTGCTTCACCTGTCAATCCCAGCTCCCTCCTCTCTTTCCCCGCCCACCACCTACCCTCCACCCCATCCCCCTTCCACTCCCCAGGGAGGGTGAGGCCCTCCATTGGGGATTCTCAAAATCTGTCATATCATCTAGGGCAGGACCTAGTTCCTCCCCCATATGTCCAGGCTGAGAGAACATCCCTCTACGTGGACTGGTTCCTAAAGTCCATTGATATGCTAGGAATAAATACTGGGCTACTACCAGAGGTCCCATATATTACCAAGGCCTCCTCACTAACACCCATATTCAGGGGAGTCGGGGTCAGTCCCATGCTGGCCTCCCAGTCATTAGTCACAGGTCCATGAGTTCCCCCTTGTTCAGGTCAGCTGTTTCTGTGGGGTTCACCATCTTGATCTTGACCCATTTGCTCTTCACTCCTCCCTCTCTGCAACTGGGTTCCAGGAGTTCAGTTCAGTATTTAGATGTAAGCGTCTGCCTCTGCTTACATCAGCCACTAGATGAAGGCTCTAGGGTGGCATATCAGATAGTCATCAATCTCATTATCAGGAAAGAGCACACTCCTCCCTCTCTGCAACTGGGTTCCAGGAGTTCAGTTCAGTATTTAGATGTAAGCGTCTGCCTCTGCTTACATCAGCCACTAGATGAAGGCTCTAGGGTGGCATATCAGATAGTCATCAATCTCATTATCAGGAAAGAGCATTTAAGGAAGCCTCTCCACTATTGCTTAGATTGCTAGTTGGTGTCATCCTTGTAGGTCTCTGGAATTCTCCCTAGTGCCAGATCTCTCCTCAAATCTATAATAATATCTATTGTGATATCTCTCATCCTGCTCTCCTCTATTCTTCCCAAACTCAACCTTCCTGCTCCCCCATTTCCTCCTCTCCCCTCCTCTTCTCCCCCTCTCTTTCTCCCAGCTCCAAGGAGATCATTTAAAACAGAAAAACTAAGATCTCATTTAAATGTACAATAGAATTTGGATGTTAGTATGAATGCTATGAAACTGCATATACCAAGCATTTCATAAGCATTTCACAGTGGGGTGGAAGGTGATACAAGAAAGAGCAAACAAACATGCAAAAATATCATCAGTGCAGACTTATCTCCAAGAAACTGTTCCCAGCAAGCAAAGCCTCTTTGTTCTCAACACACCATGGATCGACTGTGGGGATTTCTTTCATCCTTCATTTTTGTTAATTTTTGACAACAATTTCTTGAACAGTTATTTTTTCACTTCATTATTCTCCCATATAACCATATTTTGACCAAAGGCAGACCATATATACATATGTGGTTCACATATACCATATAGCCTAATTATGTAGTATGCTGAACTATGCAGTTTGGTGTAAACCTATCTAAGATGTCTATACAATGATCAAATTACATAATGACACATTTCTCAGAATATCTCTCTATTGTTGAGGAATATATAACTAAACATGCATATACATATGTGTATGCTTACATATTCTTCTTAATAGTCCATATATATTGTAATAATGAGTTTAATCTTTCTTAATTTTTATACATTAGTATTCTCCCTACCAGAGATTTTCTCTCCAAGTGTTCAAGCCCATGTTCTACTGACTGCATAGGTGACTCTTCAGCTGATGAGAATTGATAGAGCCATATGCTAGCATGTAAAATTGATTTGAACTTGAAACTAACAATTGCATGTGAACTGAGATGCATAGGCTCCAACAGATGGAACACATTTTAGTAGAAAGTCATATTATTCCTGTCATTAACCCATTGGACATTTTCCATAGTTCCTATCACATTGACTCATAGAAGGTATACATTTTGTTCATTTTCAAGATGCTCCCCAAACTTGACAATATTGAGTTCCCACTGTATGATATTATAAAAGCAAAATTCCACTGATCATACAGAGGCCAAAGTGATCAACGTAGCCAATATGAACATCTATGGCAAGTTCTAAAAAATAGATTTCAAATATAAAAGACAAAAGTCTTAAAGATTTTATTTAAGAACCTTATATATTCAGTTAGAGATAGTTGTATTTAATTGAAGAAACCCAAGTCATCCCTATCTTATTAGTCTTATTTCCTATTGCTATGGCAACATGCTCTGTGGCAAAACTCAATTTAGGGGAGAAAAAGATTCAACTCACAGTTCCATGTTCTGGTCCATCATAGGAGGGAAGCTGCAGTGGCAGGGGATGGAGGAAATTGCTCATAACACACCCATTCTGGATTCCTTTCCTTGAAAGGGTGAACACAACTCTTTCTGTAAATACTGTCATGGGATGATGAGGCCCCCAAACACTAATGTGTGAGTATGTTAAACTTAGGGCATGGGATGCCACTTTTGAAGTATCTTTCCTCTCCTTTAGGTCTCTAATCTAAGATGTTCAATCTCCTTAGGACAAGGGATCGACAAGAAAAACAATAACTGAAGCACCAGAAACTGGGTTCCCAAGGCTGTGTCTCAGGTTAGCAGAAATACTAGAATTGATAAACTCAAGATTCAGGGATAATCGGGGGCAAACAAAAATCCAGAGACAGCCTCTGGATTTGTTCTAGAAAAAATTACCTAATGTGGAGGAACAGAGCTGATGAAGGAGAGATACTAAATGAAGAGAGACAACGGTACAGAACGTAAGTCACACACAAGAGTCTCCCGATGATGACTGATGTTGGGGTAAGTGTTTGCCAGCCTGGCCAGCCCAGGAGCTATTTGGGACTCAGGCACTGATGGTCTAATCTGTATGTCTATCAGCCATACATCGTGTGTGCTCTGGGTCTACTAGCTCTTGCCTTGTGGGACCTGGTGATCTTTTGATCATTCCCTACCCACCCCACACAGCATGAAAAATGGCCAGTTGCTCATGACTCAGTTCTTCCATGACTTTACGATGCCTTCCACCTTGAAAAATCTCCTTTCTAATGTACACTTAAAATTAGGCAAGGGAATCCAAAATGCTGTTCTAGAAAACTAGAGACAGAAGCAGTCTCCTGTACATCCTAGACAGCATCATGGTTTAGTTATCCTTGATTAATAAAATCAGACATGGTGTGCATGGCACAGAGTGATCTTCATTTCTAAGAGGCATTCTTTTTCTTCTTTTTTAAACATACTGGAGTGTTGAAAAGCCTGATGCAACCCAGTCGGTATTCAGAACAAAGAGAGTGGTGATGGGCATAACACGTGGTCTGATTCCAGACGATATGGGTTCATCGTGTTTGTTGCATAACTGCTTTGGTGGACGTGATTATTCAAGGCTTTCATATGTATTATCTTTGTTGTTTTGCCAGTGTTATGAAGCTAGCAGAAGCAATTTTCAAAGATGCTGAATGTCACATCCAAAGTTTCCTAGAGAGAAAGCTCAGAAGAACTTAAGCCTAGTTTCCCCCAGTGTGCTGGTCCACACTTCTTCCTAACCTTCACAAGTTTTTACCAACAAGCATTAAAGTCACAGCCTTTTCCCCACATTGGGATCTGGCTGCCCACGGGCACCAACCACATGGTGCTTTGCTTCCACAGTCTTCAGGAACTTCTCTGACACTGTTTTTCATCATCACTAAGCTTTTGGATAGCTGTCAGCTGTTTCTTTTCAGATCAAAACAAACATCATCTCATTTCAAGGTCTTTGAATAGATGTATAAAATCTGAGATTTGCATAGGGAATCTGATGAAGCACCACAGAGAAAACACATAGCAAGACAGCTATAAATATATGAGGAGACTCTCTAAGAGGAATTGGTCATGCCCCACAGACATTTCTGTCACCCAGTCACCTGGAAACAACTTGTTTACTATGCTTATGAAAGAAAGTAGGTGAAGGACTGGAGTTTAGGACCAGGAAGCAGTCTCTCTTGTGAGGCCACATCGTGGTGAGCAAATATCCGGGAGCAGGAGTGGAAAGAGGCTCAAAGTCCATACACACAGCCAGGTCTCAGGGGAGTGTAACAACTGCCCTGACAGCCAGATGCCTGAGGCACAAATTCCCCAGAGAGCCAGCTACCAAGGAGTATATGACAGCATATAATGGAGAAATAAAGAGGCAGGACAGATGTCTAACACTGGTCACAGAGCAAAGAATGGTTCTCTGTTATGGCTTGTGTTTGAAATGTCCCTCACAGGCTCATGTGTTGGAGGCTCAGTCCCCAGTGTAATGCTCCCAGGTATCATTAGTAAAGTGACTGGATCATGAGGGATGTGACCTCATTAGTGGGCTCATCTGTGGCAGATTTGCAATGTGATGGTATTACTGAGTGTTGATGGAAAGTTTACAACAAGGAGCCTAGTAAGGAAAGGGGGATCAACTGGGAGCCTGACTTAGAAAGGCTTTTCTTAGCAAAAGATACCCAGCCTACAATTCACAACCATGGAGAAGCTAGAACCCTCCTCCAGAAACAGATGGAAGCAGATGCAGAAATCCACAACTAACCAATGAGCCAAGCCCCTGAAGTACAATCAAAGTGAGGGAGGAGCAAAAATATGAACAAAGGAGTCAAGACTGTGATGGGGAAACCCACAGAATCAGCTGACCCAAGCTAATGAGAGATCACTGACTCAGGTCTGACAAATGTGGAACCTGCATAAGACTGAACTTGACTCCCTTAATATAGGTGACAATGGCGTGGCTGGGGCAATATATGAGGCCACTGGCAATGGGTCCAAGATCTAACACTAATGCACAAACTGACTTAGTAGAGCCAGTTCTATATGGAGAGATACCTAGCCCATCCTAGACACAGGGGTTTGGGGGGTGGGGAGGTGCCTTGGTCCTGCCTCAATGAGACGATGGGCCAGACTTAGTAGACATCCTATGGGGGGTCTTACCATCTCTATGGAGCAGATAAGAGGAAGGGCGAGTGAAGGGAGTGAGAGGAAAGGAAGGAGGGGGAACTGGGATTGAAATGTAAAATATAAATTAATGAAAAAAATCTGAAAATACTCAAAAAAAAAAGGCTTTTTTGCCCCAGTCCCTTCCTCCAGGTCTCTTTGTCTCTTTGTTCTTTGGCTGCCATGAGGCAAGAAGCTTTGATCTACTATGTACTTACTGCAAGAGACAGCAGAGCCATGAACCATGGAGTGAGATCTATGAAACAGTGAGCCAAGGTGTGTAATGATAACTCTTTCCACCAGCCACCTGAGTTCCACTGCCACATTAGGGCCCCAAATCACACACAGAGTTTAATATTTGTTACAATGCTGCTGGCCAATGACTGGGATTTCTTATATGCTAGCTCTGTCTTAAGTATCAGCATAACCATTAATCTATATACTTTATAACGACTTATCGAGGACACTAGCAGCAAGCAACCTCTCTTCATGGGATCACATGGCAAATCCTCTCTACTACATTTCCCAGAATCCTCCTTCTCTCCTAGTCCTGCCTATCATGCTTCCCTATTGGCCAACAGTGCTTTATTTATCAACCAATGAGACAAACATATACACAGAAGGACTTCCCCCATCAAAGGTGAAACATTTTGTCCTTTGCATTGATTTTCTTAGGTGCTTATCACATCAACAGAAATCTGACCAATATATTCTCTCCCTTTTGCTGTGAAACTCTAGCTTGTGAGCCTAGACAAGCTGCCTGAAGGTAGAGGACTACTGATGCAGAGATGTTTCTCTGATCAGGCTAAGGGCCATGATCATGCAGTCTATATGGAAAGACACTCAGCAGCAACTCACCTTAAGAAAGCAAATAAAAATGTCAATGAAGACATGCTACCTGCCACAAAATTGTAGCATCATTGTTCCCATATACAAATGGCAATAAGCAGACACTTTTATCGTATATTACATGTATTGTGGTACCTAAGATCTCTCAAGTATATGCTTTTAATTCTTTTTATAAGTTGTTTGGAGAAACAGGACTGAGAATTCAACCCAGGAAATAACAAAGAACATTTAATTCTCACTGTATATACATCAGTATAAAAGTCGGCAAGAGCTTCACAGGGAAATTTGAAGAAAATATCTTTGTGTCTGGACCTGCTGAGAAGGCTTAAAGTAAATAAGGGCTTGGTTTTTATCAGTTGCTGTCTCCTCCTTCACAAAGATATGTTCATGTTGACAGGTTCTGGGAGGCTGAAATCTAGGATGGACTGTGAATCCAGAGGCGGGTAAGGAGTGAGATTGGGAGAGATGGCTAGAGATGAGTGCAGACACATCCAGCCTAAAGACAGACTAGAAAAGCTGCTCTTGTGTGTACAGATTTTAATTCTGATTATAACTTTTTATTGCCCTAATATCTTTTATTCATTAAGGCAAGATTTGCTTTTTATGGGGCCGTAAGAACCCAAGACAGGATTTGGATTTGTATGCCATCATAATTTATAGGACTCTCACTATGTTGTGTGGATCCCCTCTCTTCCCCTTTCATGGGTACCACCATGGGCTACCCATGATTGAGTGCAGTGCCATGTTCTCTTGTCGCTTGCTAACATTTTATTCAACTTGATAGTTAATGTAACATTTTGAGAGTAATGTTATACTATGTCAAAGTAACTACAAGGAGAGAATTCTGTTAAGTTTGACCTAAAGAGAAAGGAACTAGGTTACAAAATAAAACAGAGGCAATATTTTAAAAGATGACTTCATATGAGCACATGGAGTTCTGACTGAATCATAACCCACTCCTACTACACACACACACACACACACACACACACACACACACACACACCCTGGAGGTTCTCCTCCTGGGAGTTTTTCTCAACTGTTGGCTTGGATCAGTGTGTGCTTTTCACAAAACCAGTCTATTCTCACTACAAATGCACCTGTAGCTAGGAGTGCATAAAGTCATGTTGGAAATTGACTCTCTAATAGGAATCCGTTGGCTGGCTGTCATCATGCTTATGTATATTAGAGCCTGTGACTAGAAGGTGGGAATATACAATTCTTATGACACTCCCTGAAATATACCAGATCTCAAAAGTTAAGAATGCATTGTGTAGAAGACACTGTGATCAAAACTTGGAAGCTCCAATGTACAAATAGAGGAGGGCTGGCAAGAGCTTTAGTTGTGACCCTTCAAAAGAGAAGCAGGGCTGGACGTTGTTTTCTCCCAGGGAATGAAGAGAATCTCTTCCCACTTGGGGAAGCAATGCATTTGCACCAGTAGAAGGCTTAGAGTTCATGAGTCCCAGGCCATGAAATCAGCTGACAGGGAAGCCAGTGATGAGCAGACCAACAGCAGTCTCACAGGACAGCCTGGCTTGAGTAGCAGTGGAGTGGTTCAGACCACTGGGAATTTGGTGAATAGTTGAGTAATGAGAAGCAAGAATGGAGCCAAAACTTGGAAGAGTAAACACTGTCAGATGGCTGGGTGAGGTCATTCCTTTGTGAGGTTCTAACTGAATACAGAGTTGTTGGTGAACAGCATGTTTTAAGACAATGGTTCAGTCACTTTCCCATCTGCTAAGGTGGTTGCACTTTCTGAGAGACTGGCTTCAGGTTAGGTTTGACAGTCACTGCTGATACTCTCCAGTTAATGACAGGAATCATTGTCTCTATCCTATGTTAACCCCCTGTGTTTATCTTCACCATGTCATTGCTATTCCCCATCCCAGTGTTATTCTCAATAAGGACATCCAGGTGGGGTGGAGGAGCGAGGTAAAGTACAACAAAAAACTCTGTGTGGGTGACAGAATCACAGTCAGAAGTCTTAAAAATCCTGTCACCTCCAACCTCCCCAAAGCCTCCTCAGAGGCTCTAAGATCCTCTGTTACCAGTTTGTGCCATGACTACAGATCTAGGTAGTCTATGTACTTTAAATAGCCTTCCTTGGTATAGTATTGCCTGCTAACTCAAAGGGAATTGATTTTAAAACTTTCAGCAAATGCCTGAAATTAAAGATAGTATCAACCTGTAACTACATACATATTAACCTATGATACACACACATACATATATACATGCATATATGGCTATGAAAAAGTTTAATTTGTAAATTAAGCAAGGTAAAAGATAGATGGTGACTAAGAATAATATCCAAAAACCATAACAAAATAATGTAATAAAAGTCACATCACTACTCTCACACTTTGGAGCCATGAACAAGGGCTCTCTGAACATGGCATGAAGTGCCATGATAACCAACAAATCTACTTGATGAGGAAGAGGTGAGTAGCATATACAGAATGCATACAGCTGATGATGCGTGTCCTTGGTGCAATGGAAAAAGGAGATTAACATTTCATTATGTTATTCAAATGGAGTGCTAAATTTGAAACTTGCTATTCATTACTGTTATTTTCCACTTAATATTTTCAGCCTGTAGCTGACCAGGGGGCATTGAAATGTCAGAAAATAAAATTAGGTAAGAGGAGAGAGGACTGGACACAGAACATATATTTGAAACTGCTTTATGTAGACAAGGGCACTATTACTGAAAACATTAACAAAGTAAGATGGCAATGGATCACTAGCCGATCACATATTGTTCATAAGGGGTATAAGTTGGAAATATCATATTAACTGCATTAATTCATTCTCTTCCTTGCCAACCATACTGGCATGTCGTGTCTTCGGGTTCCCTTAAGGCAAAATGCTTAAATATAGGTTCTGTGTCCAGTGTCCCTTCACACACCAACGCACAACCAATCACATTAAAACAAAACAGAACCAAATTACTACAGTAATAACAAAATAGCCCAGAGCAGACACATAAGATCTAATAAAGACCAAACAGATAATGTCATAATAAAATTAATAGAAACAGGAAATTTGGATTAGCAAATGATCCTCATGGCATGCAATTCCAGTTGATCACATGTAAGTTACAGTGTAAGGAGGGAAAGAGATTTATAAGAAGAGACTCTTGGGAAAGCTGACATTAAGAACACTAGCACTCCCCTTTGAAATTCATATTTTAATGTCTGAGCAAGCAGGAATGGGAGTATTTGCATGCACTGGCACACAGAGATCGCAGGGGGGAAGAATGGGCGCCCTGGGGTCAGTTCTGTGTAGCAGCAAGAATCTCAGAGCGAGGCCAGCAGTGGCTGGGCTCTGACTATTTTCAATGTTTGGAATTTTTGCCAGTAGCTATCAGTCATGCCCAGATCACAGCAATGAAAGTCTTCCTCCTTTCGACTTTGTCTAATAACAAATATCTTCAAAATAAATAAATAAAAGCCAGGTGCTTCTCTCTACCTGAGAGGCCTGTAGTTTAAGGATCGTTGCCAGCATTCACTCTGACTTTCTCCATCTATCGGACACTGATCTCTAGAAAATACATTTTCCTCTTTCAGGGCAGCGCACTAAGGGGCCTGTTTAGCCTTTGGCTAACATTGCCTTCTATCTATGTTCCAGCGGGAAGGCCTGCAGAGCCTAAGTGCTTCCTGAAACCCTGAGACGAAGTGTAGGGGACATCTGAGCAGACCTCCAGCCACACACAGCTCTGAAACTGTTCATTCAGTCCCAAGGGTAACAATTCACTGAACTCAGAGGTGCATAGAAGGAGGCACTCCACAATCAGAAACAAGAGCAAGCTCTGAAGATTGGGGTTTTGGTTTTCTCTTGGGCCTCTACATACGAACTCTACAATTGGGGGCTTTTCATAACATCTGCACAGGAGACCTTATGCCACCGAGCGCTCCTAGTGATGACTAATGCACCCCCACCCAGAGGGGGTGGTGTTCAGTCGCCTTTCATCTGCTTTCTTGGAAAGTTGGGATCCTCGCCAGATCTTTAAAATCAGCAGAAAGAGGCCACCCCAGCCTGAAAGCTTGTTTTATGCCCGACCACACACCGAGCACCTCGGCAAGCATTACTCAACACGAGATATTTACCTGAGTATTACTCGCTACACAGGAAGTTAGAACTGGCAAGCTAAATGTATGATGGAAGGGAGAGAATGAGGATTCCTGGATTAGAGAAAGTTCCAGAAAATGTATTTGAGAAACACAACAAGCAAAAGAAGCCAGGGCTTGGGGCCTGATTTGATGGCAAAGACTACAGACAATTAAATATTACTTAGATGCTACTATTATTTAGTATGTAACATAGTAAAAATGCCTAGCAAAAATACATACTATTACTAACTCTGGCTTGTTATTAGTATAAAATTACTACTAAATAAAACACTTTTCATATATAGCCATACCCAATGGCTTCATTACTAAAGTATACATTAGCACTAAATATATATATATACATATGAATATATATATAAAACAGTATAACTGTACCGACATGATTGTTTACAATACTTCAAAAATGGGCATCAAAAGAAAAAAGTATTTTCCAACAAGCCTCATAAAACTGTTCCAAACAAATAAACTGGGCTGAGACTTCAGGAGAGAGAAATAAGACTCAGGTATTAGAAAATGTCTGATGGAAAGTGTGCGAATTCTGAATACAGAGACATCACTAAACTTCAATGTTAATGGCTGGGTTGTGCCCTATTTGACAGAAATCTGGACAAGTTATGCCACTGCACTTTTGTTTCCTCATCCTAAAATTACAGAAATAAAAAAAAGAAAACAATGAACTGTGGACTCTAGAACTTCTTGGTGGTATGATTCATTTCACTGTGAGATTATGCTGCCACTGCACTTTTGTTTCCTCATCCTAAAATTACAGAAATAAAAAAAAAAACAAGGAACTGTGGACTCTAGAACTTCTCGGTGGTATGATTCATTTCACTGTGAGATTATGTTTAGAACACTGCACCTCTGAGGGGAGTAGACAAGGCATGCTTGAATTCTCATCTAATGCTGTGTCCCCAGACTCCTGATGGTCTTCCAGCTGAAACTTTCAGTCAAAGCATTCTTTATTTGTCTCCAGTATATGTAGACAGTGCAAAAATAGCCCACTGAAGATAAACATACACTATCAGGGAAAAAGAAAGTAAAAGATAGCCTTTGTAAGAACTAAAAATAAGAAAGTAGAAAGAACAAGCTTGTTTTAGGAGATGGCTGAAGACACTGTGTATCTGGAGAATCTAAGGCACAGTGTGGTGATTTGAATGAGGATGTCTCTCCTAGGCTCATGTATTTGATTATTTGGTCCCAGTTTGTAGAACTTCTGGGAAAGATTAGGAGCCTTATTGGAGGCGGTCTATCACTGGGTTCAAGCTTTTTGGTTTCAACAGCCCAAGCTCTTCCCTGTTAGCTTTCTCTTCTCCTGGTTGTGGATGAAGGTGTAAGCTCTCAGCTACTGCTCTAGCACCATGCCTCCTGCTGCCTCTAAAACTGTAAGCCCCAAATTAATTCTTCTATCACTTGCCTTGGTCACAGTGTCTTATCATAGTCACAGAAAAGAAACCAAGACACACAGTAATAACATCAAGCTGTTCTTTGGAATTCTGCTATGGATCTCTTTGTTTTGCTTTTTTTTTTCTCAGAAGGTTAGGAAGGACCAGCTCTGTTTGTCTTGTAAAGAATACAGAGGGCTGGAGAGATGGCTCAGCAGGCAAAGACACATGTCACCAAGTCTGACCACCTGAGTTTAGTCTCCAGGACTCACCTGTTGAAGTAAAGACTCACCTCCACAAATTTTCATCTGACCTCCACACATTCACCATGACATATATGTCAAACCCATCAATAAATTAAGATGTAATTTAAATTTTAATATTCAGTTCTTAACAACAATGCAGTTTGTGGCAGAATTAGCTACCCCTGTGAATCATTGTGTTCCTGAGTTAAGGCAGAAAGAATGAGATTTGTCCCTCATCTTAAATGTTAAGATGATTGGGGTGGGGGTGTTCAGACTAACATAAAATGCCATTAAAGAACAGAACAAGGTGGGTTGTTTCTTTGTCGAGAACACTTGCCAAAGAAACTGAAGGAAAACCTAGGAATTTTAAAAGGGTTTAATCAAGTAGAGGGGAAATGACATTATGGAGAGCATCCCAGCATTCCAGCTCAGGAGAGCAGATGTGCCTATCAGGTGACAATGGGCAGGATGGAGAAAAAGAGAGAGAGAATCACTCTGGGTGACTAGCCTCTGGCACTGTGATTGTTTGAATGACAGTTAAGTTGGTCTGGAATGATTTTACATCTATGTGCACAGGTTCTTCTGAAGACAACCTTCCATCTATACAGCTATTCATGCATCTCTTGTCTTTAGAAATAGAAAGGAGACAAAATATAGATATATAGAGACATGCCTGAGAGGGACCTCGTCTGAAGGATGCTAGTGAGTGTCTCAGAGAAGCACCCCTGGAAGTGTGGAAATTGCTTATAAAACCATGATGACACCAATAGTGATCATCGCAAAATCTCTTGGTGCAGAGACTAGGAAAGCCCTGACTACTTAGGGAATCCTATGCCTTTCCTTTCCTGCCTGCTGCAGCTCTGAGCTTTACAGGATGACATGGTTTTGTCAACATAAGAAACACTAATGCACTGATAGCAGCAAACATTTCTACTTGAAGTTCTGCCAGCTTTTATCATGATGGATGATAAAATAAAAAAATATCTATTGAAATAGCAATATATTTAAGAGGAGGAAAAATCACAGCCTAGCATGATTTTGACTGCAGGAATAAACATTTCAGACATAATAAAATTTTAATATGGAAATGTTGACAGATAAAAAAACGTTAGTGAACTCAAGATAATTAAGTTATACCAATGCCATCTGATTTGTATTTCAGAATCCCTGGGCCTTTTGCTCAACTGTCTACATCCACCATCCAAAGGGCCATTGTTCAACTGTCTGTCAGAGCTCATCCTGACAGAGGAAACTGACCCTATGAGAAGAGTATTCCACATAGCTCTCCATTTGCAAGGTGGATGAGAAATGGAAAGGGGCTGCCAGCTCACATTCCTTAGGATGGTGACAATCTCCCCTCCATACTGAAGGTCACATTAGCTTTGGTTTTGAAATTTATCTAACAAGAAGGTCAATGTTTTTCTGAAATTTTCCAAATCTGAGATGCATACGATCACAGATTCTGGAACACTATTTCCCCAGAGAGCCTCCAGGCTCTTATTCAACATACATGCATGATTCCCCATCTGCCATCATGCCAGCTCTGGATCACATGCCCTTGAGTCATGGTAGGATTTCATTCCCTATGCTTCATCAAAGTCCAGCACTTGACCTCAACATCAGCCATCTCCTGCAACCTCTCCCTGAGATAATTGTTCAAACTTGAATATCTTTACTATGGTCCCCTGGATCTTGTCTTTCAGGCAAACCAACACATCAGATACAGCTTCTACCAATGATGTGGATGTCATTCCAATCTCATGCCAAGACAACTTAGGTTCTACATAACCTATTTCCTAGGGAGACAGCACAGCTTTCTGCAGCAGCTTCTGAACTATATGTTGATGATACAGCATCATTACATAGATAGAGGCTTGAACTCACTGGAGCCAGTCTGCAGTGGAGCTTAGATTGCAGTGTACCTTCCAATATACCTTTGGATTATTGTCTAAAATGATAAGTACTGAGACATTAAGTTTTGTTTGACTTTTAAGCAAATATATACTATACAGCAACTAATGAGAAAAAAAATCTCTTCTTAAAATTTCCTTCACTTTTATTGCTGACATTTATTTACTGCAATGGTTGGGTCAGACAGTAGATTAAACATTTTCCAGGATTTTGCCATGCAATTCTAAATTCCATTATTATTCTCATTCCAAAGATGATTAAGAAAGCTTGGTTAAATTATGCAACTTTATTGTAGAAGATTTGCCAATTATCAATAGAATAAAGAAGGAAAGTGAGATTCACTGTAAATCCTATCACCTAAACTCACCACTGGGAACACTCTGATGAGTTTGGGTTTCTAAGTGTTCTTTGTAGGAGAAGAACTTATTATGTTGTCTGCCTGTTACAGTTTGGTTAGAAAATGTACCCCTAAATTTTATATGTTAAGTGACAACTTAACACACAGATTAATGTTTGAAGTATTAAGCTGAAGGAACTATTAGAAAGAGGTGTTGAAGATAGGGAGTAGGTAACTATGAGTTTATCTTTGGAGGGCACATGATGCCCTTGGACCCTTCCTCTCTGGTTCTGCCCACTTCCTGTTTGCCAGGAGGTGTGCATCTCTGCTTTACCACAAGTTCCCTGGAATTACACTCTGCCTCTGCACATAAAGGCTCAGAAGCAACACAAGTGAATGTCTTCTGTTCAAATGAACAAGAGAGAAACTCTGTTTTCTTGGGCATTTGTCACAGTGATGGGCAGTCACCGACACTGCCTTTCACTCAGCTCTATGAAGGAATGGCTCACTTCATTTGTAATTAGGGGTGATGCATTGTTATGTGACTATACTTTAATATGGTCCCAGTAGTCTGTCTTATACATTCAGGATCCTCATCATAGAACTTCTGAAGCTTCATAGGAGCCTGTGCCCTGGTTCTGATCTGTCAAAACTGGCAGTGTATTTGCAAACCCATGTTCTTGACAGGTGGTTTCTCTGTCTAGCAGAATATGATACACTAGCTGAGTTCCCATCCTCTGGTCTGCAAAATGAGATTTCTCCTTACCATTTGCAAGTATTGAAAAGATTGGTGATCCTCCATGCAAAATCCCTCCATGGGTGTCAGACTCAGAGCTATGCTCACCAGGTAACACAATGTGTATCCCACTAACCACTCATTTTAGGTCTATAAATGTGTGTGTTAAAGAGGGTTATAGTTTATTGCCAAAGTTCATTCAGCCCATTGGTGTAGATGTGAGACTGCGTGATTGTAAGATTATCTTGAAAGGTTTTGGAAAATTATCAATAAAATTTCATGTTGTGGAAGTAAAACTTGGAAAGATTTTCCCATTGCTACATAGGTGGAGTAAGTCCCCCAATTCTACTCAATACCTCCTCCCTGACACCATGCAGGTGAAAACAGCCCTTCTAGCTCAACTATCTAGTCACCCCACACACAGCTGGAATCAACTCTCCCAAATCTAGTCACACACACACACACACACACACACACACACACACACACACACTCCCCACAAGTGTAACTAGCTCTCCCAACTCTTTAGCCTCTCTCTCTCTCTCTCTCTCTCTCTCTCTCTCTCTCTCTCTCTCACACACACACACACACACACACACACACACACTATACAGATGGAAGTAGTGAACTCTTGTTCACATCATAAGTGGTTTGTTGTCTTGGTCTGTCTATGTGCACAGCTGTCATACACTAAAGACTATGTCATAGGTCATGTTACTATTACAATAAAGGAGCAACATACTTAGGAGAATTATGAGTAGTGTAATAGATTAGAAATGGTCCCTCTGACATTTCTTATGCACTTTTCCATTTTTATGTAAAGTCTTGCAAAGGAAAGGGATGGACCTAAACTGAGTGTAACTGGATACAGGTACACACACGTGTGCATATATGTATGTGCATGGGTGTGCATGTGCATGTGTGCATGTGTGTGGGTGTGTGCACATGTGTGTACAGCCTAAAGATATTTCCAACTTGTAATCTTATTACATTGAGGAAACCGTGTGTGTGTGTGTGTGTGTGTGTGTGTGTGTGTGTGTGTGGT